CTTCCTTCCTTCCTTCCTTCCTTTCTTTTATCTTTTCTTTTTTGTTGTTGTCATCTTTTTAAATATACTTTGAATTGATCCTGAAGGTTAGAATAGTTTAGACACAGTACCACTCAATTACATCCTGAGGCATTTCATTCCTTATTTTTGAGATAGTATTGCACTTAATTTTCTAGGCTGGTGTTCAATTTTTTCTAACTTCCTCACTTCCCTCACTAATGGATGACACTGCAGTTCTGTGTGATCAAAGGTGACCTCATTTTCACTTTTTCAAATTACAAGAACTTCAATGATTTTTATCTTAGTAGAATTTGAGTTGAGTTGATTTTATACTGAAATTTGTCCTATTAAAGAAAGAGTCTGAATGAAAAACACAGATAGCCAATTTGTCATCATTTTACTCAGAATGCTAAAGAAAATGCAAAGTAACATTAAAGCTTTCAGTTTTCTCAAATAAAAAAAATTCATTAGTTATTTTTCAGCAGCATAATACATATAGTTGACTTCCAATGTATACTTCAGGAAATATGAAATTGAAATTGAACATAGTTGAATATTTCACCAATAATGCAATATGTAGCAAGTTGAGGAACAAGTCTCATAAAACATGAAGGATCATTTTCTTAAAGCTTGATTTTTCTGTGATCAAGTTAAATACAGTAGCCTCACTTATATGCCTATTACCCATAAGTCTCACATAGCTTTACTCTTTCTTTTTCTTTACTATTTTTACAAATTTTTGATAACAAAACAGGCAACACTTTATGACAAGAAAAGTAATTGTCAACACACAGGCCAGTAGGAAGCCAATCACATCCAGAGAGTGGTACTGGTACCAGGTAAGGTTGTGGGCCAGTGGCCGCAGGTGCTTCGCCCCTTTGTGGCGCATGATGTACTCAATCCAGAATGCTGCTCGGTCCAGAGGTGTCATAGGCTGGTCATGGTGAATGGTTGATAGCCTCATGACATTTTCTTTATAGCTAAAGAAATATTAAGTAGACATCCAGTTTTAGAATGAAAGAATTGGGTATCAGATAAAACTCTGTAAAATCCCTTAATGCTTCTATCTAGTGATCTGTACAGCTACTCTGAAGATAACAATAAGTAATATACCAACTGCTGGTGATATCTCATAGTCTTATTTTGAAATTCCATGCCAGTTTTAATGTTTTTCTCCCCTTTTTCTCCTTAAAATAATGAACAGAGTACATGCAAAAAGTGGAAGAAAAATAAGTTATTAACATTCCTGGCAATTTCAGAGATGATAGTAAATAGGGCTGCTTGAATTAATAAGAGGAAACATGTAGAAAAATGATCAGAATGTGACAATATATTTAATGTAAAAATGTAAGTGTATTGAGTCCTAAAGTAACAACAAGAACAACCAGAACTATATTCTAAGGGTTGAATTACAGAATAACCACTTGTTACTGGACATCACAAACTAAGATACAGTTTCTCAACATAGAATAAGAATGTAAGTCCATGGTAAGGATCATGTCTGTGTCTGGGTAAAGGTAGTCATGCGTTTGTAATGACCAGAAACTACTTCTAAAACTTGAACTTTGGATAAACGTTTCAAATTAGTAGATTGCCTCAATTCAATTCTGATCTTGACAAAGTTTTCTTGCCTTTTTAAAAATGTCTCTTCCCCTACTTGTTAAATGTAGTGATTTGATGTATTTTGTTCTCTAATTGCTATGAGCAGTAATATATTGATTTTTAGAATAGTTTGGTTTAATTTTATTAGGTAAATAGCTTAGTATATCCTTACTGTTTTGATGTCGATTTTGTTAGTACTGTCTCTAAATTATGAAGATTGGTCACCATTTTACACTGAGGAATTGTAGTTGCATTTATTACTGAAGTGAGGGTGACTACAGTACAGGACAAAGGGTACAACTGGAAGTAGGCTTACCAAGTCTAAACCACAGTATCTGTAGTGTGGCATAGCAGCATGAGGAAAGTAGATAGCTTCTGGCTTTTTTTTAGTAAAATGAGAGGTCCATGTTTTTAAAAGAGGGTTAAATCTTGACATATTGTTAAAATACTATAGGGAAATATGTACTCACAGGATACATTCAATGATCAAATGCAATGATATGAAATTATTAAGTGAAAATACTATAGAAAGATTAAATATAAAAGGACTTTAATTATGTTTTTATTGGTATATAGAAAAATTTCAGAAAGTTTTAAGTGAGTAAATATATGAGAAAATGAATATATTAACTTCTTATACTATGTTTTAATTTTGAGGTAATGTATATATTCCATAGATTCATGTTACATATCTTAAATGTACACAATATTTTAAAGGACATAGCATGGTGATGTAAAGTAATATCTCTGAAGAAAATTAGTATGGTTATATTTATGTTTCTCTGCTTTATTGTTTTTCTAATGCTTCCTTACATTCCTAAAGTAGCCATCTTTACTCATTTCATTCACTTCATTCCAGTTATTAGTGCTATGCTTAAATCTATGACAAAATTTGACATAAAATCATGAAACATTTAATGATGATGGTCACAATAAGAAATGAAAAAACATTTATCAGGCACTAAGTAAATTTCTACGCATGAATATGTTCTAATTTAGATTCATTGCGACCCTTTATGCTAGATTTAGAATTTACATGATATACTGTATAATTTATGTAATTATAGGTAATATGTAATATCCATGTAATCATGTAATACTCACAATGGGTTATTAATGACGGAATTCAGTGCATTGACCAAATCTGTAGTTGACATTGTTAGAAAATTCAGAACAACAGCTGCTCCTTTGGCTTTCATGTGAGCTAGGTTATCACGTTGCTCCCCAAACAAAGGTAGTCCAACCATGGGGACGCCATGGTTGATGGCATCATACACACCATTAGCTCCTCCATGAGTTACAAAAGCTTTGGTTTTAGGATGACCTGGATGAGTTAGGAGAAGTTATGTCACATCATTAGGGGTAAAT